TGCCTCTGCCTCTGCTTCTCCCTAACTATTTCAAATAATTAAGGACGTCTTTACAGTGTTTTCCTTGTATTTGCCTTTACTGGGGACCTTTTACAAGTGGCATCAAGTTACTATCCGTGTCATTTTGTTTCAACTTAAATCCTTTTAGCATTTCCTGTGAAGTAATAAGTCAGTCTCAATGAACTGCTCCGTTTTCTGTTTGTCTTAGATTTTCCCTTGTATTTTTGAGGGATGAGTATATAGGGTATAGAATTCTTGGTTGACAATTTTTTTTTTTCTTTCAGCACTTAGATTTTTCTTCCATTGCCTTTTAACCTGCAAGATTTCTGCTGAGAAATGTGGTGATAGGCTTATTGAGCACCCCTGTTTATGACAAGTCACTTTTTATATTCTATCTTCAAGATCCCCCCCTATATATTTCAACAGTTTTATCATAATGTGTCTTGTGTGGGTCTTTTTGGGCCCATTTACCTGGACTTTGTTAAACTTCTTTATATTGCATATCCTTGTCATTCTATGAATATGGACATTTTTTTATCACCACGTCTTCAAATCTGTTGTTTTAAATTGTCCAGTAATTTATCTCATTAAGTTTCATGCATGTGTTTCTTCACAGGTTATTCCTATAAATTTATTTTGCTCCTGTGAATAGGCCACATTTTCCTGCTTTTTATGTTTTATGATCTCTGTTTAAAAATCAAGCATTTATTAAAAAAAAAAAGCCATTCTCTGCAGACTCCAGTGGGCAATCTTCACTGATCTGTGGACCTCTGAGCCTTACAATCCCAGAGGAGGGGGGACTTACAGTTTCAGGAGGCCTTTCTGTATGTTCCTTGTCGGGGTTCGTATCTGTGCTTGTCCCGTCCCCCAGCTGCTTCTGAGGTCGGGCCTCCCCAGCTCCTGTGAGAAGGTGTCCCCGGGCGTGGGTCTGCCCGTGTTCCCTCACTCCTGGCTGCCGTGGCTCTGCTGCCCTCCTGCAGTGCACAGCAGCGTGGGCACTGCCTTCCTTGGGTGCCAGTGTCCCTCTCCTGAGATGGGAGTCAGGCAAGACAGCCCCAGACAGGCTAGGATGCTGCCATGCAGTTCATCTGTGCTTTTCTTTTCCTGCGGAAACAATGGGGATGGAGCCGTGTCCTCTCAGCTGCCCTGTGCCACGCCAGGGGAGGTGTGAGTCACAGGATATTTAAAACAACATGGAATTTTCTACACTTTTGAACATGGCTTTTTCCACTAAGCATTTATTTGGTTGTTATATATCTTTAACTGGTGTCCAGAGATTCTGTAGTTATTTTATGTTCTCTGGAGTTATATTTTTGATGTTTCTGTGGGAGTTGAACTTATAGAGCTTTCTGTGCAATTATCTACTGATGTCACCACCCAGCTTGCTGGGTTCTGTTTAAATTATATTAAGAAAATTATTTAGGGAAAACATTTTTAAAGGTTTATTTATTTAAATATTTGGGGAAATATTTGGGGAGGCAGAGCTACAGAGAGAATGAGAGACAGAGAAAGGTATTCAGTCCTCTGGTCCATTCCCCAAATGGCGGGAATTAGGCAGATCCAAAGCTAGGAGCCAGGAGCTTCTTCCGGGTCTTTCACGTGGGTGCAGGGGCCCAAGCACTTGGGCCATCTTCTACTGCTTTCCCAGGACATAACAGGGAGCTGGATCAGAAGAGAAGCAGCTGGGACAGAAACAGGTACCCATATGTTATGCCAGACTAGCAGGCAGAAGCTTAGCCCACTTCACCACAGCACCAGCCCTGTGAAGAATATTTTTGAGTTCTATACTTTTATTATATCATTTATTGTATCAGCGAAGTATTTTTAGATATTATAAATGTTAACCAATTTGGCATAGTTAAGTAACTACTAAGAATGAAATCACTAATTATTTCTGAGTGAGAATCCATATGAAGTTATAACATATACTATTCTCTCTAGTCAGCATATAGCACTACTTTTCTATAATATATGCTTAGCCGGTACCACGCTCACTAGGCTAATCTCTGCTGTGCGCGGCACACCGGGTTCTAGTCCCGGTCTGGGTGCCGGATTCTGTCCCGGTTGCCCCTCTTCCAGGCCAGCTCTCTGCTGTGGCCAGGGAGTGCAGTGGAGGATGGCCCAAGTGCTTGGGCCCTGCACCCCATGGGAGACCAGGATAAGTACCTGGCTCCTGCCATCGGATCAGCGCGGTGCACTGGCCGCAGCGTGCTGGCCGCAGCGGCCATTGGAGGGTAAACCAGCGGCAAAGGAAGACCTTTCTCTCTGTCTCTCTCTCACTGTCCACTCTGCCTGTAAAAAAAATAATAATAATAATAATTTATATATAATTAAACAAAATATATTAAGGGGTTGCTATCTACCCAGGCATATTTTCTTTATTTTATTGAGTTGTTTAAAATTCATCTGAGAATATGTGTATATGTACACATGCTTTTTAACTACACATCATAGAATATGCGAATGTGTTTAAATTTTAGTAAACATATGAGTCACCCAGCAGCATGTTCTGAGTTACTGTTGGTTCCTCAAGTGGCAACTCCTCTGCCTCCACAATGACTGGGTTTGTCTAGATTCTTGATCCAGCTCTTCTAGTCAGTTCATGCTGTTGCTGCATCTTTGGACTATAACGTGATGGTAACAGTAGCTCAGGATGGGCCCCCTGTGAGGTCTTAAGAATGTTTCCTTTGGACTTTCTTATCTCAGTAAGCATGAATAGCTAACAAGTCCTCTGTTGAGGAAATTTCTGGAAAGAAAGAGGGGGCATGTCTTGGTTGAATAACAGATTTTATAGGGTGGATATCAGAGTTGGAATCACACTATTTAGTAAGCAAGCAAGTCTTTTAGAAACTATTGTGTTATGGTGAAAATCCCAATAGGAATACTTTTTGTGGAATAGACTCAGGGAGTCTAAATCAACACATTTGTACAAAGAACCCACATCTTATTTAATTCAATTATATGTGCATTCAATGTTTAAAACATTATGTGTAATTGTACTTTAAGTATCTATTGTCTAGGTATTAGAAGATAATTATCCTCTCCACTGGTACCCTTGGGGAATGCATTGAGTCTTTCTTCTGGATCAGTTCAGGCATTCCTTGCATGGTGCTGACTTTCCATGGAGCTGTTAGCTGTGACCTAGCATACCAGTGAGCATAATAATCAAATAAGGTGGGGCTGGCCCCATGGCTCACTTGGTTAATCCTCTGCCTGCAGCGCCGGCGTCCCATATGGGTGCCGATTCTAGTCCCAGTTGCTCCTCTTCCAGTCCAGCTCTCTGCTGTGGCCTGGGAGTGCAGTGGAGGATGGCCTACGTGCTTGGACCATGCACCTGCATGGGAGACCAGGAGGAGGCACCTGGCTCCTGGCTTTGGATCAGCACAGCACCGGCCGTAGTGGCCATTTGGGGGGTGAACCAACGGAAGGAAGACCTTTTTCTCTGTCTCTCTCTCTCACTGTCTATAACTCTACCTGTCAAATACATTTTAACTTTTATTTAATGAATATAAATTTCCAAAAAAAAACAAGAGTGGGAATAAGAGAGGGAAGAGATGTGCAATTCGGGACATGCTCAAGCTGACTTACCTCAAATGGTAGAGTTAGAAACATACCAGGGGATTCCAATTCAATCCCATCGAGGTGGCATGTACTAATGCCATCTCACTAGTCCCAGTGATCAATTTCTGTTCACAATTGATCGTAATGATAGGTCTAAGAACCAAAGGGATCACAGAAACAAGAATAGTGTCTGCAAATACTAGCTGATAGAATCAAAAAGGGAGAGAATGATCCAACATGGGAAGTGAGATATACAGCAGACCCATAGAATGGCAGATGTCCTAAACAACACTCTGGCCTCATAATCAGCCCTTAAGGCATGCGGATCCGGCTGAAATGCCCATGAGAGTATTTCAGGCATGGAAAGCCAAGACACTCTGGGGAAAAAAAAAAAACAAAAAAAACCTAAATGAAAGGTCTCTGCGAGTGAGATCCCAGTGGAAAGAACGGGTCATCAAAAAAGGAGGTACCTTTCTCTGAAGGGAGGAGAGAACTTCCACTTTGACCATGGCCTTCCTAAATATGATCAGAGTCAGTGAACTCAGGGGGCTTCCATAGCCTTGGCAGCTCATGACAAGAGCCTAGGGTGATTACTGATGCCATAAACAAGAGTGTCAATTTGTTGAGTCAACAACAGGAGTCACTGTGCACTTACTCCTCATGTAGGATCTCTCTCCTTAGTGTCCTGTACATTGTGATTTAATGCAATAACTAGTACTCAAACAGTATTTTTCACTTTATGTTTCTGTGCAGGAGCAAACTGTTGAAATCTTTACTTAATGTATGCTAAACTGATCTTCTGTATATAAAGAGAAACGAAAATGAATCTTGATGTGAATGAAAGGGGAGAGGGAGTGGGAAAGGGGAGGGTTTCGGGTAGGAGGGACGTTATGGGGGGAAGCCATTGTAATCCATAAGCTGTACTTTGGAAATTTATATTCATTAAATAAAAGTTTGAAATAAAAAAAATATTGAGGAAAATTGAATCAAACAATAAGTTTATTTTGGTGCAAAAAATTAAACATCTATGTATATGAGGGGTCTTCAAAAGATTCATGAAAATGTGTATGATGAAAAAATATGAATGGATTCAAATTTTTGTGCAGCAAGATAAATATTTTATTTCCTTTTTCATGAAAAAAAATACATTTTAAAAAACAAAACAAAACAAATAATCAGATAAGGTGTTTTTTAAATCAAATTTGGCCATCTTTAATAGACGAGAGAGTTCAAATCAAAGAATGTCATAATTCTTGCTGTGGAAAAAACTTTTTGATTTTCAGGAAAAAGAATAAATAGTTATTTTCATGTGGTTAAGCTATCTTAATTCTTAATTACATTTTAAGGCATAATAATTAAAGCCCTGAACATGCCTACTTTATCTTCTAGCCACCTCCTCAACAGCTGCACAAAATTTAATGTAATGTTTCTCTTTACAGTGAGTCAAGGAGGTGTTGCAATGGTTTCTGACATGTGTCCAGACCCTGGGACTCCAGAAAATGGCAGAAGAGCGGGCTCTGACTTCAGGTAGGAGATAAAGCAATGGTCCCAAGTTATGTCATTTTATAGTTCTGTATAATTTCAGCTTCCATTTTCATTTAGCTTTTTTGTCCTTTAAAGTAGAGGTATGGCTCTTTGGAGTCTAGAACATGTCATGCTGACAAAGTCTGGATACTCCAGAGTTGATATCTTTTATTACATAATCCAATATTAAACCATTGCCTCTAATGGACATCATCAGACTTGGCATTAGGATTTTTGGTCCTGTTTTTATGTTGCTATTCCATATTTTAATGTGTTTAACATATAAAAAAGAGGGGAAAAGTTATGGCCTCATGACTGATTGACTCAATAAACATTTAAAGTAATAAAATTTGGTAGCATTCAATGCTGTTTATTCAAAAAATGTTGGGAGTCATTTTCCTAGGATTATGATGAACCAAGGACTCTTCTCCAGTTGCTATGTTAGTAATGCAGTGATGAGCACAGTAATGCTATTATTCTGGATTTTGAATTTCTTTTGATTAGTTCAAGAAACAATATTTGCCACCTTATAAGCTGGCTAGCAATACTATGAGTAAGCTGAAAACTCAGAATAAAGCAAAATTGTGGTTTTTCATCTTACTATCTAACCATTTTGAGAGAGAAACAAAGCAGACAAGTACAGAAAATTGAAAGAAGTAGAGATACCATTAGAGGTGGAAAAGCATTGTTCAGTGAAATCAGAGTGGTGGTGGTACTTGTTGAGATGACAGAAAAATCACAAAGCTGTCTGTAGCATGGCTCTAGACTTGATTGTGTTAGCCCATTTTCTGTGGCCAATAATGCAGCACCAAAGACTGGATGAGTTTTAAAGGTCATTTGCGCTCATGGTACTGGAAGCTTCTACTTGAGGGGCCACCTCTGGTAACAGCATTCTTGCTGGCAATGTCCCACGGTGGCATAGTACATCATGTGGCCGTAGACAAAGCCCTTGTGTCTGTGTGTCTTCTGGTCCCTTGTGAAGCCACCAGGACTAAATCAGAGCTGCTGCACTATAACCAGTTTATCTAATCCTAGTCACCTCACTGAATTCCCAAAGGTGAATTAGGTTTCCACCCTGGGGATGGATACTTTGTGTAGCAGGTAAATGTAGAGGACCTGGGTTTGAGTTTCCATTCTGCCTCTGACTCAGCTTCCTGCTAATGGGACAGGTGATGGCTCACATGACTGGGTCCTTCCCTCATACATGGGAGAACTGGGTTCCGTTTCTGCCTTCTGGATCCTAGATTTGGCATTACCCAGGCCTGGCTGGTCTGGACGTTTGGAAAGCAAAGCAGCAGATGGAGGCTTCTTTCTCAGTCTCTTTCTCTCTCTGTCTCTCTTTCAATTATTTTGCCTTTCAAAGAAAAAATAAATAAATAAAATGTTTTAAAGTTTCCGGTCTCTTAATACTTCAGAATTGTGATTAAATTTCTACCCATGAAGCCATGAGAGACCACTTAAGGCATGTCCAAACCTCCACATAGGTCAGTTTTATATCTCATTATGTGAAAAGAACAGAAATGTCAGTGTTCTGGAACAGAGAGCTAGAATGGGGATTGGCTAGACATCACAAATGTTGGCTAATGTGCTTCAAAGCTAGTGATTTAATGCGAGTTCCTTTGAGCAATGGCCTAGGATAGAGATTCTTATTCAGGTGGTTTTTCTTTCTCCTCCTCCTCCCTCCTCCCTGTTCCCTTCTTCCTCCTCTCTCCTCCCTCCTTCTCTTAGCAAAATAGAGAAAGCACAGAGGAACTGGGGTCAAAAGCTAAGAGGAAGTGTTTTTTGTTTGTTTTTAACAGGAGGTAAACTTGAGTGTGAACCCTGGAGGGTTTTGGAGCATGAATTGTACTTCCGAGGTAGCTCCACCTCTTGTATCTACTTTCCAGCCAATCACTGGCTTCCTTCACTTGGCACAGGGCAGTTCTCCGGAGAATTGGGTATGAATGTTGCATCAGCCATCCATGAGTGCCATGCACCGATGCACCAGCCAGTAGCAGGACCCGGGGCAGCCACAGCAGCCACTTGAGCCGAGCTGTGGTGAAGAATAGCAGTAGATACAGAATGATGCTGGTTCCCAGTGTCACACAGGATAGAAGCTATCTGAAGGCCTTCCAGAAGCTCATCTCCTAGAAAGGAAACCAAACAGGAAATTACATCGCCTTGTCAGAGCTCCGAGAAACTTCCAATCCCAACATTCCTCCCTTATCTCACACGTCATCTTCCAATCCCAACATTCCTCCCTTATCTCACACGTCATCTTCCATTCCCAACATTCCTCCCTATCTCACATGTCATCTCCTGTCCTAACCAGGAAAAATATTCTTCCTGCCTCTATCGCAAAGCACCTGCCACTAGAGTGGTCAGCCTTCAGTCATCGCCAGGTGCTTATGTGAGCATTTTCTACTACCCAAAGCTTGTCCGGGATGGAGAGCATGTCTTATTTATCTTTGCCTCCTCGGTGACCGTGATCCGCCTGCTGTAGAGGAATTCAACATGTATTTGTCACATGTACTTTGCATGTGAGGGAACAACACATGAAGTACTCAGGCATTCCTGAAATTCTTCTCCAGAATCCAGAAACATCCTTCGTCTGTTTTGTAGAGCTCTTTGCTAAAATAAAGAGAAACACACTACATCTGGCAATGCCAAGCTCCATCTTCAGATTAATCATGCAGTGAAGAGAGCCAGGGAAAAAGCTGAAGCTTCAGAGCTTATCAGGGATGGTACGGAGGTTCAGCACCAGTATTCCCTCAAGGGTGACACAGTGAGTGTGCTGATATTTATTCCACTTCATTCTCCTAAAAGCCTTATTTCTGAGGAAGAGGCTCAACTTCTGCACAAGCTTTAGCTCTAGAAGTTGTGTTGGTCTGGCTAGTTGAGGAAAGACAGATTGCAGGTGCACGTGGCACTCAACAAAGTGGTGTAGTGTTGCTCCCCCTCTTCGCGGAGGAACGACACAGGACCCTGCGCTGTTCTTTTGTCTGCTCGGCCCTTCCCGGGTTTGCTGCTGGTTCTTCCCGGGTTGGCTACTGTCCCTTCCACCTCCGTGGAAGGGCGGTTCCCCCTGCCACTTTCCCCACTTCCGCGGGGGAGCGGCACACCGCCGGCCGGCTCTCTCGGGGGCTGCTCAGGTGTTATCCAGATGTTCCCCTTAGATGTTCCTGGTGCATGTTGTCTCTCTCCTCCTTTATAGTCCTCTTCCACCAATCCCAACTCTGCTACCCACACGCCGAGTACGCTGCTCTCCTTCAATCAGGAGCAGGATCAGCTCCTGCAGGTTATTGGTCGAACTGGAGGCAGCTGCGTAGAAGTTGTTTGGTCTCTTTCTCTCAGCGCCATATTGTGGGAGAGCAGATGCATAGAATAAGTCTTAATTCCAGTAACTTAGTCTAGTCCGAGTTGCTCCCCACAGTGTAGGACTCGGCACATGCAGGGCTCGCAATCTTTACTGGTAGTTTCTTGGGGAAATCTTTCTATTATTTACATGTCAAATAATATAACTCTAGAAATATTTGAAGGATTAAGTTTTCTATTGAATACATGTGTTATTTCTTCATGTGTAGTTTTTGTATATGCGTGCATGTGTTGACACTACTACCTACGTGGTGGTGAGTTCATTTTAGTAGATTTTTGCATATTACATGGGGCTTTCTCCCTGGATGATCCTGCCATTTGCATTTGCCTGAATCTGAGCCCCTTTTATATCTTTTTAATCTGAATTTTCTTTTTTCCTTTTCCTTGCTTGTAGGTACTGACTGGAGCCTACATTGCAGAGTTAGATAGAAATAGTAAGACCCTCTTACCTTATTCCTGGGTTTACTCGAAAGAATTTTGGTTTTCACCGTAAGTGTGGCATCGGTGGTAGAGCTTTCACAGACACTCTCTGTGGACTAATGAAATACCCTTTTCTCTTTAACATTCTAGAAGTTTTTTTTTTTTTTTTGTCAGAAGTGGATGCAAGATTTTGTCAAAAAATTTTCTGTATCATTTGAGATGATCTTTTATTAGTTGCTAATATGATTAATTATTTGTTAATTTTTTATTTTAAACCAGCATGAATTGAGATGTGTTCTGGCCTCTGGAATTTCTTTTCCAGTTTGTGCATAATTGTAACATTTGCTTCTTAAGTGTTTGGAAGAGCTCACCTGTGAAGCCATCTGGAATTGGAATTTTCTCATGAGGTTTTCCAACTACAAATTCAATTTCTTTTCTATTCCTAGGCTATTTCTATATTCTTTTCTATTCCTAGGTTAGCTGTTTCTATTTCAGCAAGCTTTGATACAGTTTGAATATTTCAGGAAATACTGTTTTATCCAAGATGTCACATAGGCTTGCACAAAATTATCCATGATATTCCTTTATCAGTTTAAATTAGTAGTGGTGTCCCGGCTCAGGTTTCTGAGGTTTGTGATGTGTGTGTGTGTGTGTGTGTGCGTTCGACTGATCCATGGGACCTGTAATATGTCAGTGTCATTGGTTTCAAAAATAGAGTGAGGCCGGCGCTGTAGCTCAATAGGCTAATCCTCTGCCTTGTGGTGCCGGCACACTGGGTTCTAGTCCCGGTCGGGGCGCCGGATTCTGTCCCGGTTGCCCCTCTTCCAAGCCAGCCCTCTGCTGTGGCCAGGGAGTGCAGTGGAGGATGGCCCAAGTGCTTGGGCCCTGCACCCCATGGGAGACCAGGAAAAGCACCTGGCTCCTGGCTCCTGCCATCGGATCAGCGCGGTGCGCCGGCCGCAGCGCGCTGGCCACGGTGGCCATTGGAGGGTGAACCAACGGCAAAAAGGAAGACCTTTCTCTCTGTCTCTCTCACTGTCCACTCTGCCTGTCAAAAAAAAAAAAAATAGAGTGAAACCAGAATAACACAAACATTTGGATTTAATGATTTCTCTTTTGTATTTAATCTCAGTGACTTTTACTCTGATTACTTTTTTATATTCTCCTTCTTCTGTTTACTGTGGACTTCATTTGTTACTCTTTTTCTAGTTTCTTAAGGCTAAAGCTGA